TGAGCTTATTGACTGCGCGAATTACGTAACGTAGGTTTGTTGCTTTTAATAAAAAGCAACTGTTGCAAGATTTTGATTGCCCTTTTTCATTTGCGTTTAGTACTTGCCTACTGCTTATTTAATTAGATATGCCCCTTTCAATGGTCGTCCAATAGTAGGATAATCGGCTTTGCATTTTTTTTTTTTGTTAAAAGAAACACGTTTGCTTATTGTCCGTTAGTACCTAAAGTTAATCTATACGTAATCCGTAATAAGTGAGGTAAATGCATATTTGGTTAGGGCTAATGAATGTTGGGGTGGGAAACAGGGGAAGCGTTGAAGGTTTTTAAGCAAGATGTTAAAATTTTGGTAATTGTTAATTGAGGTGTTATTGCGGATGAAAGCGGAATATTTCTTGTGATTGACAACATGGAACTTGACCAAACGGTAATGAATCGGGACCAACACAGAATAACTACTTGGGAAATGCATACCTTCTTTATCCAAATTCCTTTTACAAGTACCGGAACTTGTGCTACACTCTATATGAATCAATTGTTTAACTTTTAAGAAAACCTGTATCAGTTCTCATAATTTGTATAAGCTCTGCTAATTAGTCAATTACCTCCAGTTGTAGAAGTGTTTATCGCTGTACCAATAGCGATATACCAACCCTATACGCTTTGTCGAAATCTGCAGAATATACACCCTAAAAACGGTGACAACAGGGACGCCAATTTCCATAATTGAACATTTAGATAATGAAAGGTCGGCTAACCTGCAATAATTGAGCCATAACTTTGCATTAAACGAAGTTTCTGTTTTCTAGCACCCAAAAAAAGCCCTCGCAAACACACGAATAAACGAAGTATATAATAAAAATGAGGGATTCCTCTACAATTTACAAAAACATTGTGTAGAACAGACCGCAATTAGGTTTTAAAATGTAATTCTACATTAACGGAACTTACACGAATCTAAAGTGAGTTTAATACCCTTGATATTATAAATTCATAACGTTGAGCATGGCTTGATTGCTCGATGTTTAATATTTTAACTATGGAAAGTATAAATTACCTTGTCTTGTTTATCTTTAAAGATACTGCGGCAGTTAATTAAAGTAGAGTATTATAAGAATATGAATTTTGTTTAACCCTTTGTTGTAATTCCTTTTGTGTAGTTAACTTTTAGTAAGCTTTATGCCCCTGAGGAGTTTGTCACCAGTGCAATTAATACTCCTTATTTAATTATTTAACACTTTTTATTACAAGGAAAAAGTACCTAATAATTTTGTCATGTAACTAAAATACACATTTCCGTTTGCCAATAATAACGAGTACAAAGAGCGGCGAATTTGCCTCGGCGAATCTCTATAATTTTGACACGCTATGGAGATTCAAATAGTAATTACGTTACTACTAATTATCCCGCTGCATAGAATTAGCGTGCATTTTAACGCAAGCACTACCGTGTCATTATGACTATTTTAGTAGCCGAACTTTAAAATTAGGGAAGTGAAACGAAATTTCTGGTGGTTAATTTTATTGTGACACATTCTGAAAGGTATGAAATAGATGGGGAACTCTCAGTTTACGCCACTTAATTGTATTTTGGTGAATTATATTCGCGAGTGCTTACTGCATAGCTAATTAATACGTCGTTAGGATATAGGGCACCAATTACCATTCATCGCGTCCTGGTGCAACGTTATTCATACTCGTAGCGTGTTGAGATGCAAGCTTGGGTTTATGAGGAGCATATGCTTAAAACGTGAGGATAATCCGTAGGAGGTGTTTCAGACCTCTAATGTATGTATCACGTTAATTACATCGTGTTATTCTTCTCATCTTCGAGTTAGAATTGTTTCTGAACGAAAAAATCTCGAATATTCTCAAATACTTATACTCAAAGAATATCCTTAAAATAATTTTACATCGTATCGTTTAACATGAAGTTCAACCTTAACTATATGAGGAACACTTCAAACACTAATGAGAAGTTAATACTTTCCCATACTAATACAGCCCTCCACCCTCTTCTACGGTCGCGGTACACTGAATTTGTCAACGTGTGTAATGTCTGTTTTAATGAATGCATTTACGTTCGCGTGGAACTTTAAGGACCCGCTCAGCGCAAAGAGCTCTTCAAGGTTTATAACAAGAAATCATTGTTAGAATTATAGGGTTAACGGGGTCCTGGATAAAACATTTCATAATAGAATCTCTTGCGTGCAGAGACTTGCTATAACCTTGCGTGTAAAATGCAAATGCAAAATGGAGCAAATTATTGTTAAATTGGGTAAACTATCCCTTTACCTACCAGTATTGCCGGGTCAGTAAATCCTTCGTTGTGCAGCCAATCTAAGGTTATATGAATCTTTGCTGAATTTGCTAATTAGTCCATGGTGAACTTTTGTATATTTAAGTTAAATGGCCGTACTAATTGCAGCGAAGATTTAGTAATAGAAAAAGTTAGGTTTTGGGAGTTTGTCATTGGATGGTGGTTCCTCGTGTAACCTCAGACAAGGATCGAAGACCTCACTTGCACAAAATAAAATTGAAAATCTGCGGCGCTGGCAAAAGTTTTAATATATCGCTCAATTTTTAATTTACCCACGGCTAGCTCAGTTATTAGTTTCGAAACCCTTTACTTGGTAGAAGTTTGACCTCTTATCTCCCCTTAAAATCTGAAATTACTGTTAGCGGTGCGCAAAAAAACCTCTCTGTTTATCACAATGAGTTTTAAATTCAGTTTTTTACTCTCGTTTCTATTTGAAGAGCTTGTCTCCAATTCGAAAATGTCTCTATTATGTTGGTAAATTCTCTCTTCATTGGCCCCCTCTTCCAGTTCACCAACAACACCCTTTACTCGTTCTCAGAAAATTCCGTGTTTTTCTTGCATTTCCAGTATGGTATGGTCTTTGTCATCCGGCCTATCGGTAATTTTCGCTCTGTGAGCTTCTAATTTTTCTTCCCACCGGTCGCAGATTTTTCTTTGTCTTTGGTTGATTTCTGCATGGACAGCTTGGACTTCTAATCGATTTTCCTTAATTCCTTCATTGTTTCGTCCCGCCGCTTTTCTGGGCCCGCTTTGGTCTCTCTTTCCCATTTTTCATGGTCAGATCCTAACTCCTGTCCCACGACCTCCATCAGTCCTGCCATTTCTCGTTGCTTCTATTTTATGGTGATCTTCTAATACTTCTCTTTTGGTTGCTTGTTGTTCTCTCTTTGCTTCTTGTTGTTCTCCGATGAGCATCGCGATAATGTTGGTTAGTTGCTGCATGTCCCCTTGAATATTACTGGGTTTCTGTTTCGTTACGTCTTCTTCTTTTGCGCTCATTATTGCTTATTCACTTGCCAGGGGATGCTCCTGTAGCACTTATTCATCCCCTCCTAAATTTTCTTGGAGAAATGGTGACTGACGCCACTCAACAACCCGTTTATTATGTTTTTCTCTGAATCAAGTGTCCGCACACAAATGTTGAAGAGGACTTTCTTTAATAGAGCATCAAATTTTCTATCAGGCATCTGGTAGATTAAAAAAAGCCCACTACCTTGGACCACAGCATATGACGTCCTGGACTCCGATATTCGGAACTGATCCTGATAAAGACACGGCTTCTATTTAACGCAAAAATAAGCCCCGTTTCAAACATTGTCTCCAGTATTTAAAAGATCCACCACTTCCACATAGAATAATCTCATTCTTAAAGTATGTTCCAGTGCTCCGCCAATCAGAATTAGACTTGAACAGCATCAGCTTCGACGGAATGCGCATATGTCCGTAAAACACCTGCAACTTTTTATTAAAACCACATGCGCATTAATTAAATTTCGCCTAGCTATACAAACTCTGATCGCGAACGTACCTAAAAAATTTGTAAAGGGAAAAACAAATACTGAAATACATATTGAAACGAAACGATTATACTTTGTGTTTATTAATTCGTATAAAACACGTTAGTTTTACACTTTTGTATACATAGAAAAAGTTACCACTTTGCCTATGAAGAAATGCTAAACTTTCTAACTGCTCTTAGCCTGTAAAATCCAGACAATTAATAAACGACAAGTTCTGAACATCAAAAGCGGAGATAGAGCCAGAGATTGAAAATTTAGTAGTTTTAAGATTGTGATTTGTCCTGTTCTCCTTCGGATGCACGTTTTCTTTTCTAAATTTTGGAGGAGTTACGTTAGCAACAACAGATAACCCGGGAGTTGGAGATGATTTAATTATTACACTGGTGATGGCAAGTCCACACACTTGTATCCGTGGAATTGAAATCATTAATGGTAAGTTCTTCTCTAATGCACGTCTCGCAGGTAGCTATAATTCGTTTGCTAGAGCCGTTTTAATTTTGATAATACTCTGCTTAAAGTGCGAAAAGACGTCGTTCTTTCGAGCAGTATATTTAAAGACGCAATAATTTTCATCATGTGTTCAAATCCAAGTGAAAAGTACCTAACAACTGATTAATTGATATCTTCCACTCCAAAGGGGCAGACTGTAAAAATTCGAAGGGTGATTAGAAAATAGTGGCATATTTACTAACCAGCTGTTAGAGATTTATTTCAAGTCAATCCCTCGGGAATCTAGATGTGAAATCTTAATTAAACGTTACAAAAACCCCTCGTTTGCATCAAGCAAATAAAGTGCCATTGCTCAATTTTGTCAAAATGATTAGATCTAAGTCTAAATTAAGAGTTATAAGAAGCGATTGGGAGATATAAGCAGAAATTATGAGATATAAGACGAAATTACGTGATATAAGCCGAAATTACGAGTTATAAATAAGAAATCACGATATAAAAAAATAAAAAAGATGTGACTCCGGTAAGCTATTTTAATGTAGAGAATGAGGAGAAAAATTTGCTAAAAAAAAGTCTGAAAATACGGAGTATCAAGTAAACAGTATACAAGAATGGAATAAACAGGCGTAGGTAATATATGTATTTTTACTACTATATGCACTATTACTTTGAACTATGTTTTTGTTACACTGCTATTTTTATTGTTTCAGGGCCAACTACTTGTGTTTCGGTCTGCAACCTGTGTGGTTCCATGTTACCAATATTGGTCTCCACGCGGCAGCTTGCGTCCTGTTTACTCGAGTGTGTCTATGTGTGGCGGGATTAAAACCGCCATTCGCCACCCTCGCTGGCTTGCTGTTTGCCGTGCACCCCATCCATACAGAAGCGGTAAGCGATTTTTTATAACCCCCTATTTAAAGCGTAGTGTATCATGCGTGAAAAGATCAAAATCTAGAGTAGATAAGAACGCACAGTATCTGAAAAAGTTACGGCTTTCCGTCGAAATGTAAACTAGTGTTAAAACCAATCGAGTCGTTTTCGAATCAGATTATCTTTGAAATCCCGATCATATATCAAGTAGGATAATGTGGTAGGCTTTATTGTAATCGCGGTATTGATGCTTCTCTCGACTCCCAGAATACATTTACTCAAACACATTGTCTTGATTAATGTACACTCCGTAATATAATGAGGATGTGTTTCGATTGTGGCACCCGTGTATAGTGCATCCCCATGGCATCAATCCAATTTATTCTCTATGAATATTATATAATTCGAATTGATGCCAAAATAAAAATTCTGCATTCCGATAAAAAATCTAATTTCGTCTCCAAGATATTGACATAAGAGCGGCACTGGCGATTGGACCTTATAGCGGCTTCATTTACATGAGCTAAATTGAAGTAATATTCTTTGTGCTACCATTTCTAGGGTGAATAATTAAAATTCTAAATAAAGAAATTGCTATAATTCTGATTTTAATTAATTTGGAATGTATTCTCGCAATTAGTCAGACTGCACTATTTTTGTGGAGCAACCATTTTTTATATGGAACTATTTTCACAGTGATAAAGGTTGACGTTACCCCATAACGATATGAATGCACAATAACAGATATAAAACGCTTTCAAGAGAAAATTATACTTTGACAGTACGAATTCATAAATCAGCAGCATTTGCAAATAACTCCCAATAGATTTTTAATTTATGTTCCGTTCGCTAAGGGAGTGAAAATTTATTATGGAAATGGAATATGAATCACTAACGTTTAATCTCTATACGTAAGAGTTTTGTAGATTTCAGTATACAAACATTGCAATGCTTTGCATTTACAATTAGCACGCTACCGATCGGAATAAGCAATTAATTTTGGACGCATGAGACACCGAGAATATAACGGTTTCGCGCGTAGTGCTGATACTCTTATATGGAGTGACGATTTATGGACAAATTTTTCATTTACTAGTAAGAATCCACGCATTTCTCTTAGAAATAATTCTTACTGAGAGCTCGAAAGCGGAAAATTGTATTAAATACGAGTTGTGAGTAAACTGTCTCCGTGGAGAAACGGCTGTGAACTTCTTAACCCCAGCTTCGATACTACAAATTAGAGTTACATATTAGTCGTCAATTTTTATTTTTTAGTTTCATTGAAATTTTGATACCTACTCTAATAGAACTTTTCCTTTTCCATTCAAAAACGGTTAGTAGTTTCCTTCATTGTTGGCGACCGTGGCAGTTTTACGATAATGCTCTCAAGTCAACCCAGAGCTGAAATCCTGATTTAAGCTTCATTCAAGCTATTTTCAATTCCCTTACTAGAAAGAATGATGAATTAGTCTAATAAGAAAATGCTTGATGCTGAATGTTCAGCTGAAGATATAGATCTGGAAATTGAAACTAGTGCTCAATAGTCATTCAAAATTAAACACTATGAAATATATGATTGATAGGCTTATTATGAATAATCGCTTTAAGGACTGTGAGAGGTTGTCCGTGTAGGAACCATCCTCTCGTATGAGGCTAGTTGGTTTATAATATGAACGATTTGTTAGAATTTTATTTAGGCGGGATGTGGAGGAAGTTGGTTCTTAAGAGCTGCAAAAACTCTTCCATGCCGCTCTCTAACGCCGCTTAATATCCTCAGAGGACATGCCTGTTCAAATGACTCCACAATGTAAGTCGACAGGACCCGAAAAGCGTCCCCGAAAGTCTTTCTCCAAATTATTCTACGATCTGAATAGAGGTCCCACAAGCCAGCAGAGCCATTTTAGAAAAATGAACGACGAAATACATCAGAATTATGGGCTGATTATAGGCCCTTTTTGGACACTTGAACAAATTTTCAGGCGGCATCCTTTAAAGAAAAAAACTATGGCTCTGCTGGCTAAAGACCCTGCTAAAGACGAAGCTAGCTGATCACATGTGCGATACGTTATGCGCATGCCCAAAATTTTTGCCTTGTAATTAATATCGATCCATTAACAGTGACTGTATAAAGACAGTGTGGTCATATGCTCTATATCCGCCATGTTTTTCCCAATTGGTAGATTTTGGCATTTTTCTATGGTTACAATATTATTGCCACAACTGTTTGTGACTTGATCATCTTGGATTCCAAGTTAATTTCCGCCAACCCGATTTATTTGGTTAAAATATGGCGGATATCCCACCTACCAATAAAAGAACAACACCAAAGTATGACCAAACTGCCTCTATACAGTAGGTATACGGTCACTGTAGATCCATTATAAGTCACTAAATATAGAAAGTACCGCAATCCATTGGGCCCGTGTGTTAGAGAGAGAACGCATGTTTTTTGCCCAAAAATTGCGGAAGTTACCAGATTCTAGTAATTTTAATGTTAGGGATTGTTCGAAGCCACCATATTACGGTGGCTTCGGATTGTTCCACCTGTTTGGAGACATCTGTCAAGTAGGTATTTGAAATTTGAATTTTCTTTTACTAACAAATCAAATTATTATTATTGGTACTTTCAAAGCAAGCAAAAAATATCATGAAGAATAAATTTTTTTCATAAATCAATATTTAACGAAAAATTCCCTCTTGTATACCCCATCGCTTTACACACTGTATAGCAAGTTGTTGTGTTTCAGGTTTTAAAAAAAGTAATGTTAAAAGTGTCTTAGTTGTCTATGCATCTTCTCTTATATTATAGGAGAAGAAAAGTTAAAACGGTATTCCGGAATTGGAAAGAAGTACAAAAAAAAATTAAAATTATTCGTCTCATTATATTATTAACGAACCTCGAGATCGTTTATAATTTTGTATTGCTTGCCTGTCTGTGCGTCTGTCTGTCCGTCTGTCTGTCAGTGTGTACGATAACTTTGTGTAGAAATGTCCGATCGCTTTAAAATTTGATATACACATGTTCTTCAGGATATAACAAAGTTCGCAATTGTTTTTCGGCTACGTAGACCAACGGGCCAAAAAGTTACAGACCAAAAACTGCGCAAACCTCCAAAAAGGGTTTCTAACTCTTGTTACAAAGTACATATGAATGTCCGGTTTTCTGTGTTAGTAAATATTCTTTAAACTTCAGGCAACTATGCAGATGCAAACAAATACTGCGCATGCGCATAACAACTTTTGTATTTGCGCAATCCTAATTTTTTATTTGTTAATATATTTAAATGAAATTCTGTATCTAGGCACCTCGAATAAAAGTGAAACTAATGCCAAATCAAAAAATTTGTTTTTCTACAATCGATATCCAAAGTAGGCATTTGCGCTCGTATTTGACAACGCAAACGTCATCTTTTTCGAGGAATGTCACTTTGTCGCTTATAAGCGACAAAATAGAAAAAAACGCTCGCTCTCCCAATTATTAACTATAAATCAAATATGCATTGCTCAGAGTATCCAATGACAACGAGTAAATGACATCTTTCATTTGGGCATAAGATTAAAATGATTTGAGTGAAAAATTTAAATTTTTGGAAATATGTGAACTGCTCGATTGTAGAAAAAACCTTGTGTGTAATTCGAGCGCAAATTGATTGTCGATTTCAAGAGATTGCCGCGCTCCTTCGTCGCGCGTCAACTGTCTCTTTCAATCGACGATATATCATTTTGCGCTCTTAATACACAAATAGCTATTTGCGCATGCGCAGTCGGTTTTCTTTTATTTGTTAAGGTATTTAAATGAAATGTTGTATTCAGGCACCTCAAATAAAAGTAAAACTAATTCCATTTCAAAAAATTTGTATTACAAGCCATGCTGATCAGGTGGGACAGACCCTTAGGGTGTATTGTAAAAATGATGTATGTGTGAAGATCTCGAGGATCGTTTGGTATTCAGTTGTATCGGATTTTTGAAATATAAGTTAGAGTTTAAATAAATATCTTAATTGGGCGAAAGCCCGTTGAGGGCCCAGAACAAGAGAGGGACAATAAATAGCCAATAAATAAATAATTTTTATTTATCCACTACATCTCCGAGAGGGGCAAAATCAAACTGATCGGGATGATAGTTTTTTTTGTTTAAAGGATGCCGCCTGAAAATTTGTTGTAGTGTCTAAAAAAAGCCTATAAATAGCCTATAATTTTGTGATCTGAATTTTTCGCCTTCGAAGCAAATCTCACAAGTGGTCAGCTAGCTTCGTCTTTAGCCAGCAGAGCCATAGTTTTTTTCTTTAAAGAATGCCGCCTGAAAATTTGTTAAAGTGTCCAAAAAGGGCCTATAATCAGCCTATAATTCTGATGTATTTCGTCCTTCATTTTTCTAAAATGGCTCTGCTGGCTTGTGGGACCTCTGAAATAGTCGCTTCTAAAGTGACTTGCCAGTTATGTGGTCAGAGATACTCCATGACTTGACTGAAATCAATCACAGTCTGGCTTCGGGTAGTTACAAACATGGGTTCACTGCCCTGGTTGAGAATCTCTAGATTAATATTTCTCATATATTCAAGTAATGATTTATTATCAGTTCTACCATCTCATTACTGGGAGGTAGGCTAACAGAATCTCCCGCGAGATATACTGCAGCTACTTGAGTTGAGCTTTACCCTGTATGCTACAGCTTAACTGTATAGTCGTGATATCAGGGCCACCCAGGTGTGACAGCAGAAGAGCTTTATGTTCTAGGTTTTTCTTGCAGTGTATCAAAGAAAACGGTTCCTTTTGTGTCCCAAGGCCAGAAACCCTTGATTTAACAACCCAGAGGGTTCTTGAATAAGGGCAATGTCCTATTTTTCAGTGAGGCGTCTGCCTAAAACAACAGAAATCGCTCTAAACTGTTGCAGGTCAATTTGTATAAAATTCTCTTTCATACTTATCATGTATGTAGAGATACACGTCTATAGTTTATCCCTAGGTTTATCCAGCGTTGCTAGAATCAAACTCCAGCAGCGCCTCAATATTAGCGA